ACTGACCCTGTGTCATGGGGCCAGCCTTATTGTTGAGGCCTGATGTTAACAGAGATGTTGAAAGGAGGAAGTGCACTGATGAGGGAGTGGAAATTCAGAAGTCCTTAGTGAGCTCTAATGGGATGCATCAAAATAAAATTACGGTAGCGTTTTTAATTGGTCGTATCCTTTGGGGAATTGTAGCTGTTATTTGGTTCAGAATGAAATCATTCACCCGTGTTTTGACTCCTCAGTGGTGGCAAACCAGTGGACTCGCTTAACTAGTGTCTTAATCACTCTCCTCAGATCAGGATTAGAGCACCTAAACATAAAAACACCTTTTTTAGAGGCAATTGGAGCTGCTTTGTTTGCTTTTTGGACATCCAGTGAATATGTAGGACATCCATTGATACAATCTCACTGTAATATTTATATCCTTAGTGTGTCCGATGATGGAAAACCTCACGGTAAGAAATATGCATTGTTCCTTTTGAAAAATTATTTTGTGAATTTATTTTGTAAGCATGTATCAAGTCTTTGGAACTTTTAAGATCATGAGAATATCCTGCTTCTTAAATTAAAATGGCAGTTGTTAAAGCAACCAGTTAAAGAAATATGCTAAGCATTAGCCGATTTGTCTTATTGCAAAAGTTTGTTTTCTCTCTTTTAAAATGATTTGAATGCATCTTGTGGCCCTCTTGGAGGTGCGTTGAGGCCCCCTAGTTCCCTACTTGATGTTGAATCCCAAATTTTTAATATGGACTCTTCAACATTTGGACCACACTTCTTGATCTTTTATTTTAAATTAATGTATGATGTGTGGCATTGCATAGTGCTTTAGTTTTTGGAAAATCAGACAGTGTTTGAAGCAGTGAAATAATACAAAAAACAATCTTTGAGATGATATATAAGAGTTTATTAAAACAGATGCCTAGACATCAATCTTGTATTCCTGTGTTACAGATATTTTCGTGTTGCTGTGTATTAAAATGATTTTTATCTCCCCTATGAATAGCCAGAACAATGGCGCGAGATTGTGAACAAGAAGTTTCGCTTCCCTGCGGAGCTCCTCGGGGCCATCCGAGAGGGCAACGTGAACATGGTCTCTTTGCTGCTGAAGACGGGTGATGGCATCATGTGCCAGCTGGACGACTCTGAGGACAGGCTATGGAGAGAAGCGCTGAACTTGTCCATCCGACTGGGCAACGAGGACACCATGGACACCCTTCTCCAAGGGGTCAAGTTTGACTTCCGGCAGATTCACGAAGCTCTTCTGGTGGCTGTGGACACCAACCAGCTTCGAGTGGTCAAACGCCTCCTTGATCTCGAGAAGGGAAGCAAGATGGATGTGAGCTCTTTCTCAATGGCCATTTTTGACCACTCCATTGATGATTCCTAGTTTGCGCCTGGAGTGACACCACTGACACTGGCCTGTCAGAAGGATCTGTATGACATTGTGACAATGCTCAATCAGAAAGGTCACAAAATTCAGTGGCCGCATAAAATCTCATGCACCTGTCTGGAGTGCAGGAATGGATGGCAATATGATTTGCTCAAGTTCTCATTGTCTTGTATCAACACCTACCGAGGAATTGCCAGCCGCGTTTACCTGTCCATCACCGCAGAAGATGCCATGCTCAGTGCCTTTCGACTCAGCCGGGATCGCTGCAAGCTGTCTAAAAAGGAACCTGAATTTCAGGTTGAGTAAAGCTTCACTTCTTATTACTATTTCCAAATCAAAGTCATGCAGTCCAGAAAACATTACTAAAATGTTAGAATCTCTGGCATGTTTTTCTCAGTCTTTTATTTTTCACTGTCTCTTTTGCTTCATTTAGCCTCAGTATCTTGCCCTGGAGCAGTTGTGCCAGGAGTTTGCCGTGGAACTGCTTGGAATGTGCCGGAACCAAAGTCAGGTCACCACCATCCTGAACAGCCTTGGAGATCAGGATGAGGACAGCGAGGACGAGCTGGACCAGCAGGTGTTCAAGGAGGGCATTCCAAACCTGGCTCGCTTAAGGCTTGCCGTCAACTATAATCAAAAACAAGTAGGACCCCAAGCTTTAACCCCTCAAAACAAGAAAAAAATGCATTGCTATTTATTGGTTTAGCTAACCATTGTTTGTACTTCAGTTTGTAGCCCAACCAATCTGCCAGCAAGGGCTCTCCTCCATCTGGTGTGGGAACCTTTCAGGCTGGAGGGGCAGCAGAACAGCCTGGAAGCTCCTGGTGTCTTTTGGGATCTTCCTGACCATGCCTATCCTTTGCCTCATCTACTGGATCGCACCAAAGTCAAAGGTTTTTGCCTTCTACAAAAGCCTTCTACACTGTAAAATTATTTCTGCTGCTTGGTTAATTTACTTAAGGAATAGTTCACCCAAAAATGCAGAAGATTTACTCACTATCAGGCCATCCTAGATGTAGTTGAGTTTGTTTCTTCATCAGAACAGATTTGGAGAAATTTAGCATTACATCACTAGCTCACCAAAGGGTCCTCTGAATTGAATAGGTACTGACAGAATGAGAGTCCAAACAGCTGATAAAAACATCACAATACTCCACAAGTAATCCACATGACTCCTTCAATTAATATCTTGTGAAGCAAAAAACTGCATGTTTGTAAAATACAAATCCATCATGAAGTTTTTTTTGTACCTTCTGAAATATGAGTCCTCTATCCATAATATTGCGTTCTCCAGTGAAAAGCCTATCTTGTCTGAATCAGGAGAGAAATATGCACAGATCAAGCAGCATTCACAGTATAAGTGAACACAGTCCAAAACAAATATGTGGATTTTGATGAGAGAGGGCAACAGGGGATGGACTTTTTCACTAGAAGCATTATTATGGATTATGGGTTCACATTTTGACCAGAATTGACAGTTTAAAGTTAAAATGGCTTCATGATGGTTATGGATTAGGTTGTGGGTGGCTATAATAATTAAATATAGAATGCATGTATGTTGCTCCATAAGGTTAGAGCAATAGCTTTAATAACAGTGACAGTGCAGTTACAAGTAACTTCATGCTAGTTCATTACAAACGATTGCTATGTTAACTACAGAAGCTTTTTAATCACAAAAACAATGAAGAGTTCCATACTATTCACTTTTAATACGTAATTGTGTAAAGTATTGATGAAGGTTGGGTAGACTTTACCTAATTTCTTTGTGTGCTGTACTGTAGCTGTCTAATATAGGCAGTCTTTGCTTAACACATTGAAAGAAATCTATCCAAACAATTCATTCAGTGCAAATTGTTTCCTCAATTTCAGTTTCCTCAAATTTGGTTTCAATTCTAGTCAGTTCTATAGGTTTGTTTTTACAGACTTTCTTCTATCCGCTCATTCTCCAAAATGCATTAGGTGGCTAGGATGCTGGAATCTTTTCCAGGGAAACACCCTGGACAGATGGTCCACCACAGGACTATTCTAGCAGACATCTTTTCTAAGAAGTGAACCATCTGTTTTTTTTCTCAGTTGGGGAAGACTCGGAGGATCCCAGTGATTAAATTCCTTCTCCATTCGGCTTCATATATGTGGATATACATTTATATATACATTTCATGGAAAATTGGTAGGGAATCAGTTCTGCTGCAAGATCTTCAACTTCAGGCGTGCATTTTTGAACATTACACATAAAACAGTTCAGTAATTCAGTGGTTCTGAATCTTGTCAAACAGCTTTTTTCTGATTCAAGTGTTAAGGAAATTTGGATTGAGGGCTTGAGGAGTTATTTCCTAGACTGGTGGAACTGTCTGGATGTGATGGTTCTTAGCATGTACCTGGCTTCCTTCGCCCTGAGAGGGGTCATCATGCTGAAGGTCCACTTCCTCTGCCAGTTACCTGACAAACAGGAGGAGTGTGTCTACTTCACCGAGACTTGTGAGAAAAAAATACTTCACTAACGGTCACAGTTTAGCCTACAACATGGCAGCTCATTGGCTTACTACAGTAATGTATTTCTGGCTGTACTGTACAGTGCGTGATGAGTGGCATCAGGAGGATCCCCAGTTCATCGCTGAGGTGTTGTTTGCGGTGACCAGCATGCTGAGTTTTACTTGCCTGGCTTACATCCTACCAGCACACAAGTCTCTTGGTACCCTGCAGAGCTCCATCGGAAAGATGATTGACGACATGAAGAGGTACAAACCCGATTCCAAAAAAGTTGGGACACTGTACAAATTGTGAATAAAAACAGAATGCAATGATGTGGAAGTTTCAAATTTCAATATTTTATTCAGAATACAACATAGATGACATATCAAATGTTTAAACTGAGAAAATGTATCATTTTAAGGGAAAAATAAGTTGATTTTAAATTTCATGGCATCAACACATCTCAAAAAAGTTGGGACAAGGCCATGTTTACCACTGTGTGGCATCCCCTCTTCTTTTTATAACAGTCTGCAAACGTCTGTGTCCCAACTTTTTTGGAATTGGGTTTGTATTTAGCTGTGTCCTGTTGATTAAGGAACATATGAAGGAACATTTGAGGAACACTCAAGATGCTTCTTTTTCCCTCCAGATTTATGTTCATTTTGGTGATCATTGGAACCGCCTTCCTGTGTGGCGTCAACAATATCTATGTCCCATATAGGATTTCCCCTAATCTTGGAAGGTATTTTATGTTTTATCCATTTGATAAAAGCTGCAGAAATGTTATCAATGTCATTTTGATCCCAGTGTGTTATTTTCTTTATATTTTAGAGGAATTTTTAGACCGATCTGCTGCTGCTGCCTCAACTGTAACTCCGCTCCTGACTACCCTCCACTTGCATCTATGGTACACTTCTCACTTCTCAGTCTTTCAGGATTACAGCTCATCTTCACTCTATATTTGGTTTTGAGTGTCTACTTGCATACTTACACTGATGTGTTGTTGTTCATTGCTATTTTGATGAGAATTTATAATAAATGACCAAGTATAGCATGTTCAAGAAAATTTTTGCTCATATTTTTTGAAATGCAACACAGAAGGATGATGGGGGTCCAGGGGAGAACCGCGCTCCTTAAAGACAGCAGGTCATCCGCGCTCTGGTTCAGCGCTACATCGAATCAGCCAGGAGAAAGTTTGAAGAGGCAAACGGAGGTAAGACTGAAAAGGTTTTCTTAATCTGTTCATCATGTTTTGTTAAAGGGATAGTTCACCCAAAAATGAAAATTCTGTCATTAATTACTCACCCTCGTGTTGTTCCAAACCCTTAAGACCTCCGTTCATCTTCGGAACACAAATTAAGATATTGAGCACAATATATTATTCTTTTATACTTAATATGCGTGTTATTTTTAATTACAATTATTAAATGTATCAAAACATTTTCCCATGTCAATTTGATTTCCAGGTCTTCCACGGATTTGCTGAAATTATGAATCATGCAAGTGGTTACTAACTTGGCAATCTTCTCCTTGAGTGCCGCCCAGTCCCACAGGTCTGTAGGCGTCTTATCCCACATATCATACTGCAGGATCTGTAAAATCATACCAGGAACAATTAGAGCTCTGTAAATCTAAACTGATATCCAGTTTCCTTACACAGGGATTGTGCAGGTTTAAAAAAAGACTTTAAGACCATTTTAAGACCAATACAATTAAATTTAAGGCAAGAATTGATGGAACATGTCAATATGTTCTTTAAATAAAAATATGGAGCACACAATTTAATTATATTAGCAACACTTAAAAGTTTGAAAAATACAACTTCCAACAGATCTTTTTAATTCATTTTGAGTTTATGATTAGAACGAGAACAAATATCTGCCAATATGCTCAAAAAGATACTCAATTGAATTTTTTTCCCCACAATCCACTGACCGATATTATTGTCTTAAGCATAAAATCATTTAATTTAGTTCAGTTTCTTAGAAAATAAGACTTATCCTTAAATCAGGATATGTTCACATAAAATGGCATGTTCAGACAAAATACTGAATACGAATTTTTTGCAGAGCATGCCAAACTTTAATGCCATGATGACTGTAATTTAAGACTTTCTGGCATGATTAAAGACCTTTTTAAGGCCTTCATTTGTGGATGGGAATCAATACTTAAAGACCCACAGAAACTCTGCTTATATGTGACCCTGGAGTCTTAAGGGTCAATTTTTCGAAATTGAGATTTATACAATCTGAAAGCTGAATAAACAAGTTGCATTGATGTAACATTGATGTATGGTTTGTTAGGATAGGACAATATGTGGCCGAGATACAACTATTTGAAAATCTGGAATCTGAGGGTGCAAAAAAATCAAAATATTGAGAAAATCACCTTTAAAGTTGTCCAAATGAAGTTCTTAGCAATGCATATTATTAATCAAAAATTAAGTTTTAATATATTTACAGTAGGAAATTTACAAAATATCTTCATGGAACATGATCTTTACTTAATGTCCTAATGATTTTTGGCATAAAAGAAAAATCAATAATTTTGACCCATACAATGTATTTTTGGCTATTGCTACAAACATACCCCAGCGACTTATGACTGGTTTTGTGGTCCAGGGTCACATATTATATAGGCTATATACATCATCCAACTTACGCCCTTGCTCACAGGAGACCCAGCGTACGTTTCATACGGCCCAAATTCTGCAGCCAGCTCACAGCTGGACTCCAGGGCAGCGTAGTAGATGGTCTCAAAGATCTGTGTGTTGAGGTGTTGAGCCTCTGCACTCTCAAACGGGAAGCGCATGAGGATGAAGGCATCAGCCAGACCCTGAACGCCGATACCGATGGGCCTGTGACGCTTGTTGGAGTTCTCTGCAGTTGCGAAACTATTTTACTGAAATTCGTGGTGCAGCGCTGACAAGAAGTTTCTGCTCGTGTCTCTGTGCATGCACTGTGTGCGTCTGTGAGAGAGACTGGGAGAAAGAGAGCGTGATTTCCGTAGCCTACATAAAGGTGGAAGACATGGAAATAGTTTGTCATTTTTTACCCTATTGTTTGTTATATTTATTTGCTCAATGTCTTGAGCAATGCGTAAATCCGGCCCAGTTAGACGGCAATCAGAAGTTATTACAAACACTCGATGGTGGTTTAAAGTGAGTTTTGAGTAAAAGCGGAATATAAATCTTATTTATTGTCTTATGTAGCATTCTGCTAGTTTGCATGAATGGTCACATAACACACGCTTTCGGTCGTGTAACGTTAGTATGAACAGACATCTGCATATGATCGGAACTCCACGCAGCGCCCGCACTACTCTATACTGGTGGTATTACAGTACCACGAGAGCTAAAGAGAGCAGACTGCTCCGTGCGCTTTCGAATCGCTCTCACGGATGATCCTCCTCATCTAGTCGAACACACCGGCGAGTGCTGCAGGCTTATTGGCTCACTGGCGCTGATGAGATTAACCCCTTAGGTATCGAAATTTGGTACCGAACGACAAGACGTTTTTCGATACTCGATGGTATCGAGGCAATCAAACTCGATACCCAGCCCTAATGGTATGTTACTGTTACTTAACTATATCATGTTATGAATAAACTAAACATTTAGAATTTTTACCTCAGTGTTTCTTCTAAGTTTCTTTATGTGTGCTGTTACGCTCATTTGTTCTGAAGTCTCTCACAAAGAGACAAACAGAGTGAGCCTCAACAGCGCGACCTTCATAGCAGAAATACACCATCCATTATCAGTCGCCGTTTACATTGAATATAGGCTAATAGAGTTAGAAGAATCATTCTTTCATTTTTTTGACACTTGTGTTTTAGTCAGGCTAGTTGTCCGGTTGGGCAAGTAAAAAAAAAACAACATTTTAAACAAGCTAGAAGGCTGATCAGCTGTAGGTTCGACCTATATTATTATTGAGAACATTAAGGTAGTTTGACCTGCATTCTACTACTGCAATTCTCTCTGATGATGCAGTAACTTACCAAACTTAAAAAAACTTCGGCCTGTCTAATGATTGTAAACAGTCATTAGGTCCGTCAGACTTAAGATATTTTAGCAGTAATGTGACCAAAAATATTTAAGACACATCGAATCTGAATTGAAGACATTTTAAGGCCTTTTATTAGGAAAACGTTATTTAAGACTTTAAGGAACATTTTTGGGTAAACTATGTAGCGTCTGGAACACTCCAACACACAATATATATTTTGTTAGCTAGATTTCACAAATACTTTGTAACACCCCAGGACGCCGAACAAGACCCTGGTTTCATGGTAACCCGATACATTTACAACCTTGTGGAATGCGAGCCGGCTCTCATTCTGCTTTCTCCAGAAACAAAGGGACACAAATGCACAGGAGAAATGGACTGTTCTACTAATTAATTCATAGGAAAACCTTCTTTGAATGAACACCCATTTTCTTCAGGCCAGCCCTTTAAGATACATCTCGAATATTTTTTATTAGCTTAAAGCGTGCTCACCGCATTGGTCTCCACTCGCTTCATGAAGAGATCAGGGATCCAGAGGGCATAAAACAGATCTCTAGCTCTCTGTTCCTCTTTACCAGTATTCTTTTTAAGCTCTAGGAAGTCAAAAATGTCAAAATGCCAGGGCTCCAGGTACATAGCAAAAGCTCCTGGTCTCTGAGTGAGGAAGAGAGAGAATGTCACAGTTTTACAAGCCAAACTTAAACCAACTCCTGAAAATCATATGCAAAACACCTTACCTTATTTCCTCCTTGGTCCACATAGCGTGCTGTGTTGTTGTAGACACGGAGCATAGGAACCAGGCCATTTGAGTTGCCATTAGTCTAAAATAACAATAATAAATTAACCCAACTGCTAAGCATAATACCAGTAAATCTAAAGCTGAGGATGGAGAAAACTCACCCCTGCAATGTAGCTTCCAGTAGCTCTAATGCAGCTCACTGCCACCCCGATACCTCCGGCAGACTTAGAAATGAGGGCACACTGCTTCAGGGTGTCATAGATCCCCTCAATACTGTCATCTTTCATAGCAAGCAGGAAGCAACTAGACATTTGACAAAACAAAAGTGCTTGCATTATACATTATGTACAGAAGTCTATTGACTTTGCTAACACCAAAGTCAGGCCTTGGCAAAAAAAACACTGCCCTCGTGTCTGATTGCTGTATAGTGATTGTTTGTTTTCCTACCTGGAGAGCTGTGGCCGGTTGGTGCCGGCATTGAAGAGTGTAGGAGAAGCGTGAGTGAACCACTTCTCAGAGAGCAGATTGTAGGTTTCTATAGCTGCCGCAATGTCCTCCTTATGGATTCCCACGGACACTCTCATCAGCATGTGTTGTGGCCGCTCAGCGACTGAAAACAAAGCGGTCAAGGTGTCACAGGAACATTTTGCATTTCCATCATTCGTCTTTGCTCTTCTTCCATTTGCTTCATTAAAATTGTCATCTACCTCTACCATTTTCGTCTTTACTATATAGTGTTCTATTGCTCTATTACTTCCTCATCCTCTCCATTTTGTTGTCTCGACTGGACTATGCTAGTGTATGCAAATAAGAATTTAATGACTTACCCTTCCCATTGATCTTTAGCAGATATGAGCGCTCCAATGTCTAAAAGAGATATTAAAAACTAAGATTAACACAACAATCACTTTTAGATATACAAGTGTATATTTTACATATTCTATTTTGGAATTACCTTGAAGCCAAAGAAATTGTAAGAGAAATCTCTGTCAAAAATGATGGCTGAGTTGAGCCGCTAGGGAAGTGAGGAAAATTACATTATTATAAATACGACTATGTTGGGGGAAAAAAAAGAAAAGACAAATCATTACATAAGCACAACATACTTACATCTTTGTTGGCCAAAAAAATGTCGAGAGTTTCCTTTGAAACCATAGGCGAGTGGCGGCCGTTCAGGGGATTCACATAGTTGTAGAGGTCCTCCATAACCTCTGTGATTGGAGGAGGCAAGTGATAAGCAGCAAATAAAAGCATTATGATTAGGGCTGGACGATATGGCAAAAATTTATATCACGATATATTTCTTAATTTCAGTCGATACGATACAATTCCGATATCGATATGAACACTATTAAAAAAAGCCTCGTAAAAACTGCCAAGAACGCCACAACAGATGTCTGTGCATACAAACTTATGAAAAATGAATTTGCCAAGTCTCTGACACCTCATATAAAATTTTAGAAAAAAAGAAAAAATTAATGTTCACCTTTTATTTGTATTTAGCCTTCATTCAAACAAGAAATGTGAAATTCTTTCAATCCTGCATTTTCTTGATCCAAAATACAGCAAACACAGTAACATTTTGAAATATATTTACTATTTAAAATAACGGTTTTCTATTTGAAAATATTTTAAAATGTAATTCATTCCTGTGATTTCAAAGCTATATTTTTAGCATCATTACTCCAGTCACATGATCCTTCAGAAATCATT